TTTCTTATGAATTGAGGCTCAGACCTTTTTGCTTATACTTCTATAAAATGATGTTTGCCCAGGTATTGACAAGGTGGAGGCAGTGGGAGTGTGAGAAATGTCACGAAGAGTAAGATAGTAAAATCTGACAAAGACATTCTGAAGACAGCATCTCCTGGGTGAGCAGTATACACAGATGATCTGGGAGAACTGGGTAAAGAGTTGGCCACATGAAGAAATAACATTGTTAGTTAAGTGAACACAACAATTAAAACATTACTGTAGGGATTTGTATATATGGAAAGAGGTGTCTGACATAGTAAACAGATGTTATACAGGACAACAATGTTTACTGAAGGACATGGTGCTACTGGAAACTTTTCTGGGGTTTTAGCCAAGGGGATTCATAAACAGGAGTGCCTTAAGACCCTGCTTTTATTTTATTTACTTAAATGTTTATGTATTTATTTTGAATGAGAGAATCCCAAGCAATCTCTGCACTGTCAGTGCAGAGCCCGATGCGGAGCTTCATCCCATGAACTGTGGGATCATGACCTGAACCGAAATCAAGAGTCAGATGCTCAACTAACTGAGCCACCCAGGTGCCCAAGACCCTGCTTCTATTTATTTATTTTATGTTTTATTTTAAAATAATGTTTATTTATTTTGAGAGTGAGAGAGCGTGCAAGCAGGGGACTGGCGGGGGGCAGGGGGAGAGAATGAGAGAGAGAGAGAGAGAGAGAGAGAGAGAGAGAGAGAGAGAGAACCCCAAACAGACTTTACACTGTCAGCACAGAGCCTGATGGGCTCAAACTCACAAACTGTGACATCATGACCTGAGTCGAAATCAAAAGTCGGATGCTTAACCGACTGAGCCACCCAGACGCCCCAAGACCCTGCTTTTAGAAAGAAGTAATAGTTCATTCTGGAAGATTGACTTCCTGCTGGAGCTAAGGAAAGAGGAATATGCTGCCTGGCAGCCCCCATACCATAGGTCGGGGTATCCAGAGAAGAAGTACATGCTGCTGGATAATTATGGATAGCCGTCCGCTTAAGACTGCTTAAGAGCTTCCACTTTTCAAGCCTGAACTCTAATCCTAGTTTCATAGATCCCTTCTTTTTATTTGCTATGAATACTTGCCTCCATAGTCATAACCTCTTAATCTCTAGAATTAACTTCTTCCTCTGTGCTTCTTCCTGGTAGCTTTTAAGTGTGTCAAACCACCTCCATCCTCAGGAAATCTTTTCAAGGTGATAGCACACTATTACCCCAGCCTCAAGTTGTTCATGTGTAAAGTTCACAAATGAATTGTTGATTTCCACTACTTCCAACTTCCTTTTAATCTCCAACTTCTTGATTCCCTTTAAAATTTTGTTTCTGCCTCCATCACTGTATTGGACCTGCCTGGTCTGTGCCTGCTACTGTCTTTCTTTGGTCCTGACTTGCTGTGGTGTCACTCTTGTATTTTTCCAGACCTCTTAAAATCTTTGCCAGCATACCTTCTTCCTACTCTACTCACTAAGGATTAATATTCATTGAGCTTCAATCCCTGACCCAGTTTTCTTCCCCTCAGCCCCTCACTTGCTTTTAGGTCCTTTCTTAAGTTAATTTTTCTAATCTCTCCTACATAGCTGGAAAAGCTTGCTTTTCTGAAAGAATCCTTATTCTATTAATAGTTATATAAAATCATCTATGAAACCTCTTGCTAATCACACTGTAAAGAATTTTTTTACACGGATGTATTTATGTGCTCTAGTTTGTATATTGTCTAAATCACTTGCTTTACTTGTGTAACCTTGTATTTCGGTGTCATTCATCCATTTACTCCTAGAGTTTGAACAGCTTGAAGTATCTTTCAAAACTATCTAATGTATAACACATATTAGTACTCAGTAAATGGTTATTGGTAATGACTAATAAAAATTCAGGAATAAAATTAAACATTAGGATAGATTAAGTAGTGTCCAGTCTTTTCCCATTGACCTTTCTCCATTGAAAATAATAGCCAACATTTTTTTAGCATTACTAAGTGTTAGGTACCACGAGGGAATAATTTGTAAGTTCGTTTTTCTTTTAACTCTCACAGCAGCTCTGTGATATGATATATTTATTTATCTCCATTTTATAGATGAGGAAATTGAGGTTTAGGGAGAATAGTGATTTGTTCAAAGCCTCCTTAAATCCAGGTCTTTCTGACTACATATAAATGACTGCTGAACGCTAAGAAAGCTGCTATTTGTTTTTAAAATTTTTGTTTGATTGTTTTTATTTTTAAGAAATACCATACTGGAGGGTTAATAATTAAGTTAAAATCTCAATCCAGGAAGAAATGCCTAAAAGAGCCACTTGATTTACTTCCTGTCTTTATCCACGTCCTCAGTTTGAAGTATCAGTTTAAGAACCTGTCTGCCTCTAGCAATGTTTTCGACTTTGACACAAAATCAGATTCTATTACCCTGTGTCATTTGTGTCAGTTATCCCGGGTTTCAGGAGATAGTGCCAAACCATTCCTCAAATGTGTTCTCAGCGCTGGAACTACCAAACAAGTTTATCCATGAAGTAATGCCAGGAACTGGTTAGCTTCCTGGAAACAGAATTTGTCAACCTGATAAACCAGCTCTTATAATAGCATCATCTTACACAGAATTAGAAACGCTTTCTGTAGTCCTGCTTGTTGTGGATTTGACTTAAAAAGCATGCGTCTCTGTGTGTACTCACATCCATCTCAGTTCAGTATCTGAGTTTAGACAACAACAGAAATTACCAGTTCTCAGAGTGGTTATCTTGATAACGAAAACTCCGTGTATTCTGCTGTTAGGAATATCACTCACTGGATGTGCCTCAGAAAACACATACCTAGTCATGATCCTCCTTATAGTGATCCCAATTTACTGTTACAGTTGGTCCAAACATCGTATACACATATTAAATATACATAATATATAAGCTTATGTATATTGTATATATAAGCCAATCTTCCTAGCTTAGATGTTATGCTCTAATTTTTAAACTTTTGTTGGGAAGTTAAAAAAACAAAATATGCAAGTCTCTTTCTTTAAGGAGCCTATAGGAAAATCACTAGGAAATATAAAATAATTGATGGGATGTATGTGTTTTAATTTTGACAAATGTCTTTTTGTAGGTACCCACTTTCTTTTTACTCATTATCCCATTTATTTATCCTTTTGGTTCTACATCACCTCTCAAACATACTTTGGTATATATTTTGAAATGGAATTAGATAGGAAGCTACTCTACTCATGTTTTTCCTGCACATTTTTAAGTCTAATTTTACTTTTATGAGCAGTCAGAAACCTCCCCAATGGGCACCTTTCTCCTTCCTTTCCTGCACCTTCTCAGAGGGCATGTAGGGTACCTGAGCAGATTTGATCTAGAAAGAAGAGAGGCAAATAGCACAGATTTACTTCTTATACTTCAGGCTGTTCTTTCCTTTCCACAAGGTATTAGAATATTTCCAAGGCATGATGATGAAAGACAAAAGATAGGTGCTCTATGGGTGGAGTCTTTTGTACTTGCTTCTTTTAAGCTATGCTTCTGGTCCTCAAGTGACTCAGTCGTCACCAAAACAAGTGTAACAACTCATCTGTCATGTTCCTTTCCAGATCAACAGATTTATTTTCAACTCCCAAATGCTATTTGGGTAGACAAGGATGTCTTGAAAGACCTGGGAGAATTTTGCAAAACATGGAATTGGGCTGGTTTGAGTTCTGGGTTTTGGCCACTTGTCTTCAATGCATGAGAATTCCAGTACTCTGCTATTTCAAGAAAAGGGGATTAAAAGTAATGCCAGTAAGGCAGAGACAATGCATTGCTTGGTCAGTTAGGGAAGAAAAACAATAGAACTGCCTTTTCACTTCCCTGTGGGAAGCAGAAGGCCTATAAACTTGTAAAGAGTTGGGAGGGGGGCTGCTCAAAGGCTAGGCATGTAAAACAACTTCTGTTCAAAGCAGCTACCTTGAGGTCCTTGTTTGGTACCTTTTAAAATGTGCTTTTCTAGGGGCACCTGGGTGGCTCAGTAGGTTAAGCATCTGAGACTTCAGCTCAGGTTTTGATCTCATGGTTTGTGAGTTCAAGAGCCACATCAGGCTCTGTGCTGACAGCTCAGAGCCTGGAGCCTGCTTCGGATTCTGTGTCTCCTCTTTCTGCCCTCCCCTGCTTGCTCATGCACTCTCCCCCCCCCCCCCGCCAAAATAAATAAATCTTAAAATAATAATAAATAAATAAATAAATACACAAATACATAAATACATAAATAAATAAAGTGTGTTCTTCTAGGGGCAACTGGGTGCCTCAGTCAGACTCTTAGTTTCAGCTCAGGTCAAGATCTCATGGTTCATGAGTTTGAGCCCCACATCTGGCTCTGTGCAAACAGTGCAGAGCCTATTTAGGATTCTCTCTCCCCCCTCTCCCCTCTCCTGCTCTCTCTCTCTCTCAAAATAAACTTAAAAAAAATTTTTTTTAATGTGCTTTTCTACCTGGGATGCTTTAAGAATAAGTCTGTGTGTGACTCTGTCCCATAATCAGCTCTCCATGAATTCATCTTTTCACTCAGTACCCTACTACACTGTGCTGGTTGTTGTTCACTCCAACTTTTCATTTGTTTTTCCTGATTGAGTTTCTCTGGCACTGGAAGAATTGCCCTGTCTGAGCAACTCCCTTGCCGCCAGTGAATTGGTAAATATTGCTGCCAGAAATCTGATTGGAGATATGTTAAGAATCCATTAAAATTCAAATTGCCAGAGTCTGACCTCAGTTATCTACTTTTCAGAGACATCAAATGCATGTGATTATAGTTATAGGATCTGTCGTTTTACCTGGGCAGAACTTACAATTTTTAGTACTAATTTGCTGGTCTGTATTTTATTTTTAAGTTTTTATTTAAATTCCAATTAGTTACCATACAGTGTAATACTACTTTCAGGTGTACAATTTGGTGATTCAGTACTTACCTGTGGTCCATTTTAAAGTATCTTAGCCCATGTGCTCTCTTTCATTGCAGACGAACAGGAGGCATTGAACTCAATCATGAAGGATCTGGTGGCCCTCCAGATGAGCCGACGTCACCGGGTGCCTGGATATGAGACCATGAAGAGCAAAGACACGGGTCACCCAAATAGGCAGGTGTGTGTGGCCATGGCAGACCCACCTACAGTTGCTGGGAAGGGGTTTTCAAATGGGCAATATTTGAGAAGCCAAGGATACTCTAATACCAGGTTAGAATGCTTTTGGCCCCTTTCTTTCAGAGTTTAGTAAATGGTGAGTGGTATATACCAGCCAGGTGTGGGTCCTGATCTGGATCCCCAAAGCCTTGTGCATCTGACCTTGTGTATAGTGTTGTATCTGTGGAGAATAAGAATAATTCCTTCATGTATTATGGGGACAGTATTCATGTAACTCTTCCTTTACTGATTATTGGCAGATGTTTAATCCAGATTCATAATCTCTCAGGAGGTTTTTTAGCTACCTTACAATGTATACTCAGGAAAAATTAGTTAATTTTAGTTTTAGCATATGTAAAATATAATCAGGAAGGGAAATTTACTTAATAAGATGTCACATAATATATTCTAAAGGTAACAATGAGTGATTTTATTATTTTTGTTTACACTTGTTTCCCCTTATAGTAACTTAGGTAGTTGAGAGTGTCTACTCTACTGAGAGTTGTGTGCTTCTTTAGGAAAATAGTTACTATTTTTATTAACATTTAAACCTGTGCACTGTTGAGAATCTTTTTCCCATCTCTAGTGTCATTTACAAACTCCCCGTTTCCTGGGTACTTTGGCCTTCAGAGAGGAGTGAATGATGGGGAGCTTTCCTCCCTAGTGGGTTATCTAGTGCTATATCATATGGCATATTTCGTGTATTTGGTGAAAATTTGTACATGCCATTCTCCTTTGTGGTTCACTTCCTTATCAGCTAACCTTCCTTCTCTTTCCTCATTTGCACCTCATTTACCAATTCTTCAGAAGAATCCTTGGTTCCTAGAGAAAAAGTAAGGCCCTAGAACTTTTTCTGTCTAAGGTCTTGCTAGATATAGTCTCCCAGAGTATTTCCTGCCTTTAGGAAAACTGGGGACCCTGCATCCTTTTGTTTCATGATATAACAGAAGGATTAGCTTAGAAGGCTGGTTTGTTTTTATGGCTACCTTACAGAACTGGGGGAATAGGGCCCATTCTTTTACTATTTTCATACATTATTCTGTCTAATTGTGTGGGTTCTGCCTTGTGGTAACTCTTTGCTATTCAAAGCTGCTTTTGGAAGGAGCATTTTACCAGAAGTGAGTCCCCTCCCCCAGGCTTGAGCCTAATGACCTCACTTTCCTTCCTGTCTTCCTATGTGGAGTGTGCTGCTCCAGTCAGCTGATCTTTCTCCAAATGGGGCTGATAGTGTGGATATCAGTTAGGTGAAAAGGGGAAGCTTTCTTGAGTTGGAAGGCCTAAATGGACCAGGCCGGGAAGAGGAGGGTGGCATGGCCTCTGATCATTCCTTGAAGGGAGTTACCTTTTAGAGATCCTTCCTTTTTTCCTTCTTCTTTTTTTTTTTATGTTTATTTATTTATTCTGGGGAGAGAGTGCATGAGTGTACACAAGCAGGGGAGGGGCAGAGAGAGAGAGGGGGAGACACAGAATCCAAAGTAGGCTCTAGGCTCTGAGCTGTCAGTGCAGAGCCTGTTTTGGGGCTCAAACCAGGAACCGTGAGATCATGACCTGAGCTGAAGTCGGACACTCAACCGACTAAGCCACCCAGGTGCCCCTAGAGATCCTCTGCTTAGAGCCTAAAAACTATTATAAGAAAAGTCCTGATCTTTACTGTGCCTGCTGCTGTGTTATTGGAATAAAGTTAGTGGTTATGAAGGGAGAAGGCTGTGAAAAGGATTGACTGCTGGTTAAGAAGTAACCTTAACAAGAGGTAGTGGCTCTAAGGACCCACAATTTACTTGAATATCATCATACTTTTTCTGTTTCATGGAGGATACACATTATTAACCTCAGTTTTTTTGTTTTTAAAGAAAAAACACAGCAGCAGTAGGAGCTCAGCCCTTCTGAACAGCCCCACAGTAACAACAAGCTCATGTGCAGGGGCTGTAAGAAAAAGAAATTTTTGGGAAGGAACCACATTACTCATTAAAGCTAAAATGTGCTTTCAAATCTGATCCAAGTGCTGGAAGAGTGTGGAGTTCATTTCCCAGACAAGTCATTTTAGTGGATTTGTAGGGAGCACTGGTTACTTATAACCTGTATTCTGTGCTTTTAGCCACCAATTTGCAGAATAGTATTATTCATAAGCAGTGTCTCTCAGTGCTGTCCAGTATACTTCATGTGATGATAGAAGTGTTCTGTATCTGTGCTGTCCAATGTGATAGCCACTAGCCACACATAGCTATTGATCAACTGAGGAAGTCAATTTTAGGTTTTATTTAATTAAAAAAAAATTTTTTTTTAATGTTTATTTATTTTTGAGAGAGAAAGAGACAGAGCATGAACAGGGGAGGGGCAGAGAGAGAGGGAGACACAGAATCCAAAGCAGGCTCCAGGCTCTGAGCTGTCAGCACAGAGCCTGACATGGGGCTCGGACCCGCAAACTGTGAGATCATGACCTGAGCCGAAGTCGGACGCTTAACCGACTTAGCCACCCAGGCACCCCAGATTTTATTTAATTTTAATTAATTTAAATTTAAATAGCCATATGTGGCTAGTGGCTACTGTCTTGGACAGTACAACTTTATATACTATAAGAGACTGTTGGTTTGCTGGGCAAGAAATTAAGTGCATGCTTGGAGGTGTTTAGCAATTCATTGGTGTACATTCATTCTTCCACACAGGTCATGTGTTTCTATACATTGTGATAAGCTCATTAATGAGAATCCTATCTAAGATTCTATTCCAGAGGCATGGGGACTGGGGGGTAGTGAAGCTGTGGAACTGACATGACTGTTTAGAAATGGAAGCTCAAAGTTGTATGCTAATATCAGACAGAAGGGCAATGAAAATGTCAAGATCATTTTTCCCCCTTAATAAAGTCAAGGTTGTAGAATGGCCTCTCCTGGGAATTGTAGCAGATGTTCAGCTTCTGACCAGGGGAGGTATTCTTCAGCAAAATCCAAAAGGCGAAAGGGGGAGAAAGTCTCAGTGAATATATTTCTAGGAAGGATGGGGTGAGATGAAAGTGGAGGAAACCTTTGGAGGGAGATGTGTTTATAGTTTAGTGTAATGAAAAGAACCTGGCCTAGGAGTCTGCCAGTGTTAATAATCTGTTAACGTAGGACTTTACAGACTGAATCCCTATTTGTTATTATTGTTGTTGTTTGCTTAGGCTTGGGATAGGATTAAACTGTATTCTCCATTACCAGTTCCTCTGCCAGAAAGTCCATACTTAGCAGAGAAGAATGAAAGATCAAAACCTAATTTAAATGGCTAAGAGATGCCAAATTGAGCTAGGAAATGTCAAATAGGGCTAAAGATTCAAATTGCAGAGTACCAGTTGAAAGTAACCAAGTGTTTGGTTAGAAAGGTTGCTTTTTCAGGCAGGGGATGGCGCTGACAGAGGCAAAGGGCACTTACTGCAGCATGAGAAGCGCAGTGCTGGCCACAGGGCAGCGCTAAGATTAGCAGAGCCTTACGGGGCTCAAGCTGGACACAGCAAAGGAAAGCCAGAGGAGCTATGGATTGACAATTGCTGCGGAGCTGAGGCCTGGAAGAATTGGAAAACCTAATTTAATATCTCTGCTTAGCAGGACTTCAGGCATCCTCTTGCCTAAGTGAGCAAGCTAGGTAACTAATTGAAAAAGAGAATGCTTTTGGCAACAACTAAGCGTTCTGAGCAGCTTTGGACGAACATGGGCAATGAGGTGCTCAACTATGAACTCTTTGCTAGGAGGTAGGATCTGGGTTCTCTGCATTCTTCCTCTTGTACGTTAGATCCCTGGAAGCCTACAGCCTTGTTAGAGCTGGCCGAACAATCTTAGATGTGTGGCCCATCCCAGTGTGTGGTTGGGGCCTACGGACAGTTTTGCAGGTGGTGATGAGCAACACCCCTTTAGCAGTCATCAGCTCACAGTGCTTTATCAATAGGTGCAATTTCTCTGTGAAGCTGACAGCTTAGTGTACTGAAAAGAGTACTGGCCTAGAAGTCTTGGAGTTGTTAATAATCCATTAACCTAGGATTTTACAGTTTACCGAGTGCTTTCAACAACAACAGTTGATAGCACTAACAACTGTAAGCATGTGTATGATGCTTAAAAGTTTGCCGAGTGCTTACGCAAAGGTATTTGGTAGAGCCAGGAAGCAAACCCAGATCTTCTGACTCCTGGTCACAGTAATTTTACTGTATATAAGTCTAATCATCTTTCTAAACCTCAGTTTTTCCATCTGAAATTATACCCGTTGTGTCTACCTCTTAAAGTTGTTGTAAGGTCACAGGCAGAATGTAAAGCATTTTGTACATCGTAAAACAGATGTACAGATGTAAAGTGGTAGTGATTACATCACTCTGTTATGTTCTGGCACTGCAGGTATGAGTTCTAGTGAAAGCCTCTAATCAGAATTCTGCATACTGTCATGGAACTGAAAAGGTTAAGGTTTTCTACCTTTATTGGATTGTTATTCCTGTCTATCAGATAGTTCTTTGGAAATTGCTGAAGCTAGCCTAATTTCTTAAAATCCCAGGGGAGGAAGAAATAGAATCCTTAATTCCTGTTTCTCTCAAGTCTTACCAATAACTGGTAAGTAGAGGCTTGAATAGCATCCAGGCTCTGGGTCTGACTTTGCAGGTGTTCACTAGTGGGTGCTTCAGAATGGAAAAGTTGCTTTCCTCATTTCAGGCACTAGCAGGACAGGACTCTTGGCTATCAGTTCTAAAGGAGGAAAATTCTGGGGGCTGTTCCTCCAGTATGGCCAGTGATTGAGCAGACTGTCTTTTGCTTTTACTGTGACAGACCTGGCTCTTCAGGACTTCCATTCTCTTTCAGAGGTTGTTGATAAGATTGTCTGGCTAGTTTGAAAATGAAACGTAAAGCAATATATAAGCCTGATACTTTATTTTGTAAGAAGGCTGCTTTATTTATATTTTATATATATATATATATATATATATATATATATATATATATATATATGCATATA